AATGTTTGTTCTTCCCACCTTGGTGCTCACATGCCCAATATTTAGGGCCCGTTTATGAGTGACAGTGTGGTATTCAATTTTTTTGTTTCTGTGATAGTTTACTTAGAATGATCATCTCTGGCTGCATCCTTGTTGCTGCAAAGGAGATAATTTTGTTCTTCTTTGTGACTGCTTAGTATTCCATGGTGTATACATATCATGTTTTCTTTATTTTCATGAAAATATTTTCATATTTTCAATGGGCGTGTGGTTTGCTTCCGTGGTTTTGCTACTGTGGATAGTGCTGCATTGAACATGCATATGCAGATGTCTTTTTGGTAGAGCAATTTATGTTCCTCTGAGTATATTCCCTTATGTGGAATTGCTGGATCATATGGTAGCCCAATTTTTAGTTCTTTGAGAAAATGCCACACTGCTTTCCACAAGCTAGTCTACATTCTCACCAACAGTGTAGAAGTCCTCCCTTTTCTCCTCAGCCTCACCAACACCTGTTGTTGTTTTTTTAGTTTTTAATGATAGCTATTCTGACTGGTGTGAGGTGGTATCTCATTGCATTTTTTATTTGCATTTCTCTGACAATTAGTGAAGCTGAGCATGTTTTCATATGTTTGTTGGCTACTTGGATGGTGTTCTTTGAGTAATGTCTGTTCGTGTCCTTTGCCCGCTCTTTAATGGGTTTAAAAAAATTTTTTTTTGATCTGTTCCTGTCAATTTGTTTGAGTTCCTTGTAGATTCTGGATGTTAAGTCTTTGCCAGCTGCATTGTTTGCAGATATTGTTTCCCATTCTGTGAGTTGTCTTTCTACAATCTTGATGATTTTTTTTGCTGTGCAAAAACTTCTTAACTTGATAAATTTCCATCTGTCAATTTTAGATTTTGCTGCATTTGCTTTTGAGGACTTTAACATGAGTTCATTGCCTACTCTGATGCCCGGGAAGGTGTTTTCTTCGAAGATTCTTATAGTTTGAGGTTTCACATTTAAATCCTTGAACAATTTTGAGTTAATTTTGGTATATGGTATTAGGTAGATGTCTATTTTCATTCTTCTGCATGTGGCTAGCCAGTTTTCTCAGCACCATTTGCTAAATATGATTTCATCTCCCCAATGTTTGTTTTTGTCGACTTTGTTGAAGATAAGTTGATTGAAAATCTGTGGTTTTATTTCCAGATTTTCTGTCCTGTTCTATTGGTCTGTGTGCCTATTTTTGTACCAGTACCATGCTGTCTTGGTTACTGTAGCCTTGTATAAAATTTTTTTTTTTTTTTTTTTGAGTTGGAGTCTCACTCTGTCACTTAGACTGGAGTGCAGTGGCCACTCCCGGCCACCGCAGCCTCAACCTGCTGGGCTCTGGCGATCCTTCCGCCTCAGCCTTCCAAGTGGCCGGAATTACAGGCATGTGCTACCATGCCCAGCTGATTTTTTGATTTATTATAGAGATGAGGTCTCATTGCCCAGGTGGGTCTCGAACCCGCGGGCTCAGGCAATCCACTCACCTCAGCCTCCCAAAGGCGCAGGATTACAGGCTGAGCCACCGAGCCTGGCTGCCTTGTATAAAATTTAAAGTCTGAAAATGTGATGCCCCCTGCTTTGTTCTTTTTGCTGAGGATTTCTTGAGCTATTCAGGCTCTTTTTTGCTTCCATATGAATTTCTGTATTATCTTTTCTAGGTTTGTGAAAAATGATGTTGGTAATTTGATAGGGATTACATTGAATCTGTAGATTGCCTTGGGTAGAATGGACATCTTGATGATATTGATTCTTCTAGACCATAAGCAGGAGATGTTCTTCCATCTGTGTCATCCTCGATTTCTTTGAGTGTTTTGTAGTTCTTATTGTAAAGGTCTTTCACTTCTTTGGTTAGATAGATGCTGAGGTATTTTATTTATTTTTTTTTTGTGTGGCTATTGTGAATGGGATTGTGACAGACAAGCTTTTAAAACATCCAAATTTTGATTGTGTCTCAGCAGTTCCCCATAGTACTGTACAAAATGACAGTTCTTTCTCTCCCAAACTTCTTTGACTATCATTCCTTTGAAAAGATTTTCTTAAGCACTTCACAAAAGAAGAACTAAAAGACTTCACTTGATTATTGAATCATATTATAAACATTGTGGAAACCTCCTTAAGCACAAAAAGTAATTCCCTGTCTGAAAAATACTTTCTAGTAGGCTCTATTCTGACTACTATATAAAGGAACAAAAATCCTCCCCTGCACATGAAAAGATGCCCAACATCATTAGTCATTAGGGAAATACAAATCAAAACCGTAATGAGATATCATTTGATATCCACTAGGATAGGTATAATAAAAAAGACAATAACAAATGTTGGCAAGGATGTGGAGAAATTGGAACCCTCATACATTGCTGGTGGGAATGTAAAATGGTAAAATGGTGCAACTGCTGTGGAAAACAGGCAGTTCTTCAAAGTTATGCATAGAGTTATCCTATTACCTGGCAATAATACTGCTAGGTATGTACTTAAGAGAAATGAAAATATATGTTCATACAAAGACTTGAACATAGATGTTCATTGTAACATTATACATAATAGCCAAAAAGTAGAAACAGCGCAAGTGTCTATCAGCTGATGAATGGATAACAAAATGTGGTATATCAGGAAAATGGAATATTATTTAGCCATAAAAGGAAATGAAGTACTTATGATTCAGCATGGATTAACTTTGAAAACATTATATTAAGTGAAAGAAGCTAGGCATACCACATATAATGTGAATTATAACTCAATAAAGCTGTTATTTTTAAAAATTCTCCCCTGAATTCCAACAGGTATTTGGCCTATGTATTATAGGTTGTTATTACACTTGAAAAATGTCTATTGTATCAGTTAATTGAATTTTGTCTAGAAGAATTATTTTAATTTGACTTGCAACTTTGTAGTCAGAAACCTGGAGATATCACAATTTCTGGAGTGCTGGGAAAAAAAAAAAAAAGAGATTGAGTACTATAGTAGGCTCCTTACCATTTCAAGGGAATAAGAATGGTTTGTATAGAAGGTACCCTCTAGGGAGAAAAACATGGCTTTTCTGTTCCTTTTTGAATACTTTACTTACTATCCAAGAGGCTAAGTGTATTTATAGTAAGATTCACTAAGCAATACGTTTGCATGTAAGTACAGGAGGTATTTCATTTGGGAGGAGAAATTTTGAGAAATCATCATTCCTTTTTAGTTTGATTTTGGGAATTCTCAGTGATTTTGTAATTTTAAAGAATCTTTAACCCGGGTGTGGTGGCTCAGGCCTGTAATCCTAGCACTTTGGGAGGCCATGGTGAGAGGATTGCCTGAACCCTGTGGTTCAAGACCAGCTTGTCCAACTTGGCAAGACCTCATCTCTACAATAAATCAAAAAATTAGCTGGATGTGATGATGCATGCTTGTAGTTCCAGGCAGAAGGATTGCCTGAGCCCAGCAGGTCGAGGCTGTAGTGGCTGTGAGTGTTCCACTGCACTCTAGCCTGGGTGACAGAGTGAGACCCCAATCAAAAAAAAAGAAAAAAAAAAAAAATTCATTGCATCTTTGTTCACTTATATGTGTTAAGAATTTGAGAAATATTCCATTTAGATTAGATCCAAGGTAAATTCGGGTTCTTCTCAGTTCTCATATATTACAAGTTTATTACTTGTCCTGGGATGATCACAAATCATTTATAAAAACTCACCTTTCTACTTTGTGCCACCTTCTTCTCCACTTTGAACATTAGGTTGTAGAATGTCTTTTCCTAATATCCTAAGAAGATCTAAGATGAATCCACTCTTAAGGATTGCCATATACTTTTTACACTTTTTATCACTAGGTAACCAAAGCATGGGGAGGGATGGATTTTGGTAAATTTCCAGTTTCGTTGTCAGGTTAGAAATTGGTTCTCTGCTATGGAAAAAGTTACTGCTGTTGATCATTTGTTTTCTGAGTGACATTAGTGAGTTTTGAAGCAAATGGAAAACTCTGTCAGCACCTGCTGACTTACCACATCAAGTGGTTCTTCTTCAGGTAGCTTCTTTGTCCTTGGTTATTGTAATTTTCCTCTGGGTCATGTTTTTTTTGTTTGTTTGTTTTTTGGGGTTTTTTTGTATTTGTTTTTTTAGTTGGAATCTCACTTCATCACCCAGGCTGGAGTGCAGTGGCATGCTCACAATCACCCCAGCGTCAACTTGCTGGGCTCCGGTGATCCTTCTGCCTCAGCCTTTCAAGTAGCTGGAACTACAGGCATGCACAACCATGCCTGGTTAATTTTTTGATTTATTGTAGAGACGCGATCTCACCATGTTGCCCAGGCTGGTCTCGAACCTGCAGGCTCATACAATCATCTTGCCTCAGCCATGTTTTTTTTTGTTTTTGTTTTCCTTTTTTCCATTTTTTCTTTCTTCTGGTCACCTGAGCAGGATTATGCTCAGGGTCACATTTAAGGTAGTTTGATGCTATAAGCTCTTTAGCAAGTATCCATGTATTAACTCTGCACATTTAGTCAGGATGCATAGTTTTACCACACCTCAGTTTCTTCATCTGTAATAAGGAGCTAATGATAGTATTTACCTGGAGGACTTGGTAGTTTTAAATGAGTTACTCTACTTAAAGCACTTACCCAACATTTATAGACTGCTTAATTTTTGATTTTTGAAAGAAACCTCAAGTAGTTAGTCCTACAGCTCCTATTTATAGTAAAGCAATTTAAAAGTGCCGATCTATGCTGCAATTTCTTCAGCTATAAATTGAGAATAACCTTGCAGGTTTCTGTAACTTGGGGCATGATCACTAAATGAGAAAACACATGCAAAACACTTAGAACCGTACCTAGCATATGGAAAGCTCTCAGTTGATGTCAACTGTGATGGTGATGATGATGATCCCTGTACCTTCTTTGGGAAAAATTAAAAGAACACATGGTCACTGCATGAGATTGGTTCTTGCAGGTTGGCCATGCCTCATCCTGAGGCTGTTTTGCATGGCTAGCCACTTGACTGCACTTTTCTTCCTCTTTCAGCTGCGCAGTTGGACAGCATTGGCTTCAGCATAATCAGGAAATGCATCCATGCTGTGGAAACCAGAGGTAAAGTAGTTGAGCAGATGGTATTGTTCTCGTAGAAGGTCACACATCTGGTGAGGAGTCAGATGTGCTACTTTCTGTTTCCTGACTTTAAGTGACTCATTAGCTCCCTGGGTGCCACTCTTAGTGTTTCCACAAGTCCTGCTGGTCTGAAGCAGGGGTTCTCAACTGATTTGCTGCCATCGACTTGCTTGGCTGATCAGAACAATGTTTTAAATGTATGCTTATAAAATACACAGAACTATAGAAAACAATTACTGAAATTCAGTGTTTAAAATACGAGGGGGGACCCCCAATAAACAGAATTTATTTATAAAAAATGGTGTATTTATTCTTACATGTTTAAACTTCAGTCACCTTCAAAGTACTCTCCGTTTGATGTAGTACACCTATCAAGACACTTTTTCCACTGCGCAAAACAGTTTTTGAACTTGTCTATTTGGATGAGTGCTTCTGCCATTTTTTGTTTCGCCTCTTTCACATCAGCGAGGTGTTTCCCTTTGAGGACTTTTTTAATCCAGGGAAACAACAACAACAACAAGTCACTCTGTGTGAAATCAGGTGAATAGGGAGGGTGGAGCATGGACTTCATGCTGTTTTTGGTTAAAAACTACCGAACACTCAGCGCTACATGGGTAGGTGCATTTGTAAATCACCCATCAAGAAATGGGCAAACATATTGAGAGTCTCCCCCCAAAATTCACTGAGGCCAAATGCAGTCTCTTACAACAACACTAGTGGGTACACTGTTGCTGATGGGTTCCTGGAACACTTACCTACTGGGGAAGACTGTACTACAAGGACCCAACCTCTAAAAGATAATTATGATTTTTTGGGTCCCCCTCATATTTTTTTTTTTAAAAAACGTAATTGGGTTATAATAATATGTGTGTTTCTTTGTTAGCACTTTAACAAATTATAATGGTCGGACTGATAACTGATCTAATCTGGAGTAGTGACATTTAAGATGTCTGTAACAGTTGTAATGCTTATGAAAATATCTGTGATTTCTGACCAAGGTGCAGTACTGCTAATGCCACTGTGATTTGTTGTCTACATTCATAATAGAAGGAAATGCGTAATGTCAGTTATAGGTTAGTGAAGATAAAATGTAATTGTTTTCCTGTCTATGTTTGTGGATGCCCTGAATTCTCTCTGGTGGATATCTTGGGGTCTGTGAACCCTGGGTACTCTGTGAAGCTAATCCCTAGAGACCATCCAGGTAAAAGGAAAGGATCAGACCCATGTTATACACTTACCTTCTCTGGGTTCATATGAGCAGGACATTGAGATCAAGGAAGCTGATTCATTCTGTTGCTCTCCACTCCTTCCTTGGAGACTCCCCCAAAGGAGAGTCCTCAACTCCATCAGTTTGGTGCTTTGAGCTCACTGATCTATTATACCCCTGAGAAAAGCTGTTAGCCATGCTTTTACTGGGTTTGAGTTGAACTGTTGTCAGAGATGTGATTCTTATTTACTCCACAACCTCTCAACCTACTATTCCTCTTTATTTGCTTGAAAGAGATCCTGGCTTTTAAAGCAGGGCTCATAACTCTTAACAGTTGAGAAATATGCACTATGATGCATTGAGTAGAGGGAGAAGGGAAAAAACTCTTTTGTATTCCATCAAAAGATACTCTTTCCAAAGTAGTTGTTTTAATATGTGGAAACATTTTCTAAGTGGTTGCTTCTTTCTTCTGTACCTCCCTTAAACAAAGAGCTAAGTCAGCTTGTAAAGATATATAAGACATATGGAGAGAATATAAAGTTGAAGATGAGATTTCTGGGAATTGATCTTGAGGAAATAAGAATGTGGGCCACGTTAAGCCATTAAGATGTTTACACAGTGGTCTTGTTGAGGTGCAAAATCAGAAACTGGTCAAATGTTTAAAAAATTGGTTAAATCAACACTGGTACACATGTAGTAAAAAACCAGGGATCACTAAAAATGCAGTAGAAATACATTTGTTGACATTCAACATTTTCTTAATTATATACATTAAGTGAAAACATGAAAATTATAACACTGCTGCCCAGTATGAACCCATACTGGGAGTTGCAAGGAAAGGGGAGGTTGTATTGTATGGTTTCATTGTGGTGTCTGTGGCTCTGTGCTGATTTCTACCATCTTCCTTTGACTCATCTATTTGCCTTAACTATAGTTTCTAATTTTTTTGAAGTTTATATTACTGAGGTAATTTTTCAATAAGAGTTTCCATTCTTATTTTTATTTTAAAAGAAAAGAATGAGAAAAAGAGGTACAGGGTTAGCAAAGGAAGAGGCATAAAAATGGAGCCAAAAGTGAGCACAGAACAAAAATTCCTCATCTCCGATGAGGTTCATATACTTGCCTGAGGTGGACTACCTGCTCGTCTCTCAGTTTTTAGCAGCCAAACTCAAGAGGGAAACCTAATCATTTAAAACTGTTCAAGACCAGGCACAATGACTCATGCTCATAATCCCAGCACTTTGGGAGGCTGAGGTGGGAGGATTTCTTGAGCCCAGGAGTTAGATATCAGCCTGGACAACAATGAGACCTTGTCTCTACAGAAAATCAAAAAATTAGCCAGTCATGGTGGTACACGCCTATAGTCCCAGCTACTCAGGAGGCTGAGGTTGGAAGGATCACCTGAGTTCAGGAGGTCGAGGCTATGATGAGCTATGATCATGCCTCAGCACTCTAGTCTGGGTAACACAGTGAAACCTCGCTCAAGAAACAAAACAAAGCAACTATTCAGAGTCTATGGCAAACGCAAATCAGTAGCTCAGGAGGGCAACCTCTTCTAGTGTAAAACTTGAAAATATATGCAGTACGTAGGAGAAGAAGAAGGGGGTCACAAGTTGATTTGATTTCTTAGCCTTTACTTCCTTGCCCCCTCCCCCTCTAACATGAGGGTGAAAATGATGTGTTTTAACTTCTAACAAAGTTTTCATGTTGCATAAAGAAGAAATAAGGACAGTGGGAGTTGGGTGCCATTTTAGCACAAATAATTGAAGGAAGTGGGTATCTCTGTATTGCATCACATGTATGTACATGCATATTTATGATAACTAGAGATGGGCAGACTTCTCATATTCTCTTGATTCATCAATAATTGTCTGAGGAAGAACTGGGATTATGTAAAGTCCTAAAGAAGCACAAGGGATAAAAGAAGTAGAGACATTTCAGACCCTTCAGGCCCTTTGAGCTGACCCCTTACTAAATAATTTGGGACCTGTCCTTTAGTTTTGACCAGGGGTTCCTAGCCTGTGAATGATGCAGGATGAAGTACACAATTTTACAGGTCCTTTCAGCTGTAAAGTCCTGCCATTCCAGACCTCTTCCTTATATTCATTAGTCCTGCTTCTATATAGACCTTGTTGAAGATACTACAGAATCAATCCTTTCCTGAATTTCTTCCAGAAAATTGTATTCTGCCCCCTAAGTTTTTTATAGTGATGGAGTATAGCTCAGTGTTTTGTTCATTTCCATGTACATTGTTCTGATCTAGGGGCTTGGAATATGATAGGGAACAAGACAGAATCACTGTACTTAGAGTTTACATTCTCATTGTTGAGAGGAAGACAAACAAGGAACCAAATTAAGAACATCATTTCAGATGTTGTTAGCTACCATAAAGCAAAGAAAACAGGATGGGCATGGTGACTCGCACCTGCAGTCCCAGCACTTTGGGATGCAAAGGCAGGAGGATTGCTTGAGTCCCAGGAGTTCCAGACCAGCCTAGACAGCATAGTCAGACCTCATCTCTACAGAAAAATTTAAAAAGTCGTTGTGATGGAGCATGCCTGTAGTCCCAGCTACTTGGGAGGCTGAAGCAGAAGGATTGCCTGAGCCCAGGAGGCTGAAGCTTCAGTGAGCCATGATCATGCTACTGCACTCCAGTCTGAGCAACAGAGTGAGACTCTGACTCAAAAAGAAAAGAAAAGAAAAGAAAAAAAACAGGGCCAGGGAGTGACTAGTAGTGTTGGTCACAGGATCCATTAGACTGAGGAGGTTGCACTGAAGTTGAGACTTGAATGATGGAGAGATCTGGGAGAAGAACATTTCAAGCAGAGGAAACAGCTAGAGCAAAGGATGAGGGGTGAGGACAGGAGTTTGGTGTGTTAGAGTGACAAGAGAGCTGGTGTGGCTGAGCAGCATGCTGTGGCTGATGACATGGCCAGACCTGGGCTGGCGGTCCCCTTGTGTAGGCCACCCCATGGAGTTCTGGGTATCGTCTCAATACAGTGGAAGACACTGGAGGGCATTAAGAGGAGAGATGATGTGAACTGATGTATACTTTAAGAAGTTCACTTTGGCTACTGGTTGGAGAATAGACATCAGAGGAATAAGATAGGAATCAGGAGTCCAGTTACTTGAGAGGATCACATATCAGGCCTAGGACTGACAGGAGGAAAATCATTTCAAATCATTTGGCCTACATTGCTCCCTTCTGTAAATGGTACTGTGGTGATCTAATCCATGTATTTAAATGAACAGAAGTAGGTTCATTTTTGATTCTTTGTTCAGGTGTTTGAAAGCAAACTCTTTCTGGTCTATTGGCACAGTTTCTTGGGTTGAATGAAATGAAGGTAGTCATTTTTTTTTTAATATAAAGAATATTTATGATACAAATGAATGGATCTTCTCATTTTTCAGTCCTGGCGAACAGTCCCGGCTAACAGTCCCTAAAATTTAAAATGTCTTTATACCTCAATATTTTCATTCTATATGTAAAAATAGATTGTAAAGTATTTGTCCTTTTTGTGGTATGAATATTTAATCATGCCATTTTTACAAAACTGGTTAAATAGAATGTATTTAAAAGTATGTATTTTATGTCTTTCAAAACTTCAGATGCTGCCTTTGGCAAGAGAAAAGGAAAGTTTCTTTCCCCTCTGATAACTGAACTAACATGAGGGCTGAAGTGTGCAGCACACCCATGAAATCCTAGACAGCTGTGCCAGATCCCACTCCTTTGCTAAGACTGAGCTGAGTGACAGGGGACTTTAATTAGAGCAGCTTTTAGAAGGAATGGTAAAATGAAAAAAAAAAAGTGCATTTGGCTGGGTTGGCCCAACTTGTGTTTTCTGATGTGCCTCTAATTAAATCATCACTGTTCCTTTCCTCAGGGATCAACGAGCAAGGGCTGTACCGAATTGTGGGGGTCAACTCCAGAGTGCAGAAGTTACTGAGTGTCCTGATGGGTGAGTGCTACAGTGGTTCTGCTGGCAGGTTCCTGGGGAGGCCCACTCTGAAAAGTCCCCCGGGCAGTGAAGTGGGACTGCTTCTGGAGAATGACTCGGGGGTGTTCAGGAGCTAACATCCAGAAACCAAACATCCCATTCGCCAGTTGTCATGGCTGTGGGCACTGCTGGGAAAAGTTCTAGTAGGACTGGACAAAACTAAAAATGCTAGGCCCAAGGCATCACATCCTCTGTCTGTAGACTTGGTGTTGCTAGTCCAAGTGGTGCTGAGTCACTTATGTGACCACCACACACCCTACTCTGTCTTTAATAGCTCATGACTCCTTCTGGCCTCTTTTGGGACAGGTATTTAGTGGGACACACCCAATGCCCAAGGAAAGGCATCATTCTATCCTGCAGAGGACCTCAGAGTTCATGTTTCTATTACTGAGCGGTGTCATGTAACTCCCAGATAAAATGTATATATGTAGATAAATCTTCTTATCCTTTTTGCTTCTAGATTTCAACCGAGTATCTGTCACTTGAGCAGCAGAACCTCCTTTACTGCTGCATGATATAAATATAAAACCACTATCTCTAAATGTACGATATTTGAATAAAAAACCAAGGAGCCAAATTTGCTTAGGCTGCAGATTTCCTGTATTTTTAGATATGAATGCAGCCAGCCTCAGTGAGTCACATGGATCTAAATGGCAAACAGATCAAATTTCACAGATGGGTGGCTTTATTCATCTTCATGGAAGCCCAGCCGTGCGCCTGAGGAGATAGACTATCACTTGGGATCCCAGTGTGGTGTTCTGGGCAGGGACAGTTTTCTTGTTAGTAGTTGTAATTTCTTTTGCCATGTAAAGAAAGCTTTTTTCTCATGTTGATCAGAATGACTCTTATGTATCTCTGTTTGACAGAGCCATTCACCTTTAGTGGGCAAAATCCTGTTGTATTATCAATTATTGTGAGATCTGTTATTTGAAACTATAATTATTTGGGAGTATCTGCTTTTTGGTTTTATGGTTTTTTAAACGTTAAACATTGGGAGATAGTTGTAGATATACATGCAGATATGTGAGAAATAATACATAGAGATCTCATTGTACCCTTTACCCAGTTTCCTCTGTCGATAACCTCTTGAAAAACTGTATTTCAATATCACAACCAGAATTTGACATTGACATGGTCAAGGTGCAGAATGTTTCTATCTCCACAGGCATTCCTTGGGATGCCCCACAGTCATCTGCCACACTTCCACCTTACATCTCATCCCAAACCCCTGGTAACTGGTAGTCTGTTCTTCATTTCTGTAATTTTGTCATTTCAAGATTGTTGTGTAAATGGAATTATGCAATACATAACTTTTTGGAATTGGCTTTGTTTTTCAGTCAGCATAATTCCCTCAGGACTTATTCAAGTTGTTCGGGTGTCATCAGTTGGCTCTTTGTTATTGTCAAGTGGTATTGCATTGTATGGATGTTGCATACTTTGTGGAACCATTCATCCATTGAAGGACATCTGAGTTGTTTTCCAGTTTGAGGCTATTATGAATAAAGCTGCTATAAATATTTGTGTACAGGTTTCTGTGTGAACATACATTTGTTCCTCTTGGATAATTGCCCAAGTGTGCAATTGCTGCACTGTACGGTTGTATAGTTAATTTTTTAGAAATTTAATGTAAGGAAGAATTAAGTGCCTAATAGTAGGTATCAATCATTAGTTGCTCACTGGGACAGATTGTCCATGCTAGAGATTAAGCTTTAGAAGGAGCCAGTTCTTTTCTACAAAGAGTCTTGCCTGATAAGGTGAAATATGTATGTATGTGACAGCTGTCATGAAAACTATGATATTAGTGCTTAATATAAGCTGGGACTGAAAGGTTGAATAGTGAAGGAGAGATTAATTTAGACTCAGGAAGTATTATGAGCCATGGCATGATGGGGGCAGGGGACAGAAATCAGGATTGATTATGGTGGCTATCGCAGAGGGTCTTGATTCTGTGACTATTATTATTTTAATATTTGAATAAACTACTTGAGGCTGTAATAGGAATGTTAAAGCTGAAAAGCCTAAGGTAGTCTCATTTATTGAGGAATTTATATTATTTTGCTAAGGAGTTTGGTTTTTTTATTTTGTAGGAAGTAAGAAACTCTTAAAGGTTCTAAGTAATGGGGTTATTCATTACCCTTTTTTACACACAAAAATGTCAAGAAGACAATTCAGAATAGTTTATAGGGAAAAAAGCATTTATTTACTGACAACTGGTAAATCTAAGATGGTAGACTATCATGAGGGTCACTCCAGTGACATCTTTACTTTTGCTGAAGCCTTTTCTCCTTCTAGCTTCTCATTATCTGTGACCTCTGCTAATCCTGCTGTTGTCTTTGTTCTCTGTGGGAGCGTCCCAGACAGGTTCAGCCTCAGTGGTCCTTGGAGCCTGTGGTTGCTAAGAAGAGTGTATGCGTCTTGACAGTGTTGGTAGAAGGCTGCAGTGAGGACTTTGATTGGCCAGTATGGGGCCATTCACATAATTTGTTTCTCAATCTTCAGCCAATTACATGGTCCACGGTAGATGGATCCAGATGGCCTGGATCTTGTGCCTGTCTCTAGGAATGTGAGTTAAGGGGTGGAGGCATGGAAGTGAAGATAGGGTTAGTTCATAGAACCCGGTGGACTGAGCAGACTATTAATAGGATAGTGAAAGAGTGCTTTCCTGAAATAATGACAGCTGGTAGATTAAAATATATGTGTGTGTGTGTGTCTAAAACAAGTGTAACAAGGTCAGATTCTAGCTCTAGGAGGATAACCCTGGCTGCCATGTGGAAGGTCATTGAAAGACCTGGTGGAACAAGACTATTGCATTAGATTGGGCAAGGCGTACTCTATCAAGGGGTGAATCAAATAGATACACTGAGGTCAGGAAAAAAGGACAGGCTCAAAATCATTGTAGAGAGAGAAAACCAACAGGACTTTGTACCACCTGGATGTGGGGGAGCAGAAGGGATAGAGAAATTTCAAAGATGACAGATTATTATGTAAGATGACACTGATGAAAAGAAAAATGACATTTTAGATTGCTTTGCTAATCTAAAAAAGAACCACTTTAGCTTGGTTGTGCTAAGCAAAAGAGTGGTTATGAAAGGATCTCGTTTTGTCACTTCTTTTAGTGGCGCTCAAACAAAATACTTGTCTTATTCTCTTCCTAAGTTATCCTAGGGATAGAAAAAATAATCTTGAACATCTGAGAAATGTCATGAAAAAGTAATAACTAGCAGCTGAAAGTCACAAGGCTAGCTGCCTCTGGTAGGAAGACATTACGGATAGACTGGAATCCAATCTGAGTTCCAACCAGAACTGCGAGATCTAATCAGAAGTTTAGAATGGTATTTGTGATTCTCTCTCCCAGTGAAGTTACAACTTAAAACTCACAACAGAGGAATCACGAGGGCTCCAGGGCTAGAAGGAAAGCTCCGACTCCTTTCTCTTTTGTGAATATGCTCACAACGTCATCAGTTCTTGGTACTAGAACTGTCTGGGTTAGCCAGAAGTGCAAAATAAGTATGACTTCTGTGGGGCTGAGTGTGAACCTTTTATTCACTATTCCTTTATTGTACATTTATTGGATGTCCTATTATGTGCCAGGCAATGGTAAGATTTGGTTATTTATCCGAGGCTCTCAAAAGTGGAATAGTATGTTTTGATTATTGAAAGTATGGCTTAGAATAAGTAAAACCAGAGACGACTTTTGATTACTTTGAGTTTTTTTTTGTTCTTAATACATTGGATTATATTAGGTTGGAAGAGGAATATAAGAACCAGTGCTTTGAGAATGTTTTCTTTTTACTGATTAGGATTCCTTTAAAAAGCTTGCTAGAATTCCTCATAGCAAGTGTGCTGTGGCTTTGTGCTAGTGTTCTATCAAGAGCTACCCTTGATCCCTTCTTCCTAGCAACAGAGGTCATTAGTCTTTGGAGAACGAAAAGGACTCACAAAGACTGGCAGATTCCTAGAAATATAATGCCTTCTGTATGTATAATTGGGTTTTCACCCTGAATACTAAATAAAGATAAATCTTTCCAAATTTTAGTCCAAATTTTAAATATATACTATATAATTCAGCTATATGCTTGTTCAGGACATATCTGTCTGCCTCTATATATTTTAAATAACTTTTTTTCTGGCAAAAGTTATGGGTAGTCATTGTAGAAAATTTGGAGAAATACCAAAAGCAGAAGAAAAAAGTTCTGCAGACTAGAATTAACCTTTATCAACCATTTTGTTATATTGTATCAGACTGCTTTATTATATTATCACCTTTTAAATTTAGCATAGTATATTAAATATAACAATATAATAATATGTTTATAAAATTACACTCACAGTGCATATATTACAGGCTTTTTAATGGGCTTATTCATGTAACACTGTGGAGTGTCTATTTAAGTTCTTCTAGCACGTGATTTTCTAGCCACATATTGCATAGTTATGATATGCTATAGCTTTTTTTTTTTTCTGAGTTGGAGTCTCACTCTGTCGCCTGGAGTGCAGTGGCCGCTCCCGGCCACCGCAGCCTCGACCTGCTGGGCTCCGGTGATCCTTCCGCCTCAGCCTTCCAAGGCGCTGGAACTACAAGCGCGCGCTACCACACCCGTCTAATTTTTTTTTTTTAATTTATTGTAGAGATGAGGTCTCACCAAGTTGCCCAGGCAGGTCTCGAACCCACGAGCTCAGGCAATTCACTCACCTCAGACTCCCAAGGCATGGGATTACAGGCTGAGCCACCGAGCCCGGCTTGCTATAGCTTTTTAATCAGTCCTTTATTCGTGGCTGATTCTAGGATGATTGCAATTCTTCATCATTCCAAAAAGCACTAGGTGAATATCCCCATAGGGCAGGATAGTAGAGATTAAGAGCACACATTTTGGAGTCAGACAAGCTGCAGTTCCACTGCTTATGTGTTTGACTTAGACAAATGATGTACACTGGTCTAGTCTTCTATCTTCCCATCTGTA